AGATACGCCACAATTGTACCACTTCCGACAGCTTTGAAGTTAATTAGGACTTCCTCTCGAAGAAATGTATGAACTATTTACTGAGAATATGCTACATCCAACCTAAGCAAAAAATAAATAAAAGAATTCAGCCATTCTGATAAACAAAATACTGTAATAAAGTAACTGAATATTCTGTTAATGTCCAAAAGGTATTTGAAGATTAAAAAGGAGATTGACTAAGGCTGGACGACTCGGCCTAAAATCAAAATATCAATTAATTGAACATTTTGATTCGATTACATTTAATGAATGATTTTTATTTATTTATTTATTTATTTATTTTGCCTTCTTGGTTCACGAACAAGTTTTGTACAGTAAAAATTCTCACTGAATGAAGGGTGCATTACTTGATTTTAAAATAATTGAAGGAAACATACATTATCTACTATCTATGACTATTTAGTGAACATCAACATTAAACAACTGGAATTAAAAAGCTCCTATTATACATTAAATATGGTCATATTTTAATTTTGGGGGTCTCCAACAACAGGCTGATAGGAAAAAAAAACACTTTCATTGTTTTATAATATGTATTTACTTTTACCTAATTATCCCAGCGACTCACATATGATTTTTTAAGCGATTCATTTGTTCCTTAGCACAATGCTAATCTGCGCTGATTGGACCGATGACAGTCTGTTGTGATTGGTCTGGACTGCGTTCAGCGCGAGCTGCCCATCACAGCCTATCAGCAATATTGAAGTAGTCAGAGTGCATAGTGTATGTGTGAGCATACCTGCCAACACTCCTGTTTTTCCTGGGAGTCTCCCGTATTTCAGACCCATCTCCCGTATTTCAGACCCATCTCCCACCACCCTCCCGTTTTGCTATTTATTTAGCAGAAAACTCTCGTAATTTCAACCACCCAAAGGTGGCAACCATTTTAGTCGCACTTACACTTGTGAAATGGGGGAAGAAACTGGTCCATGAACTGTAAACTGTAAAGTTTCTGTCGAGCTCTGACAAAGTCCCACACATCAATAGTCTTTTCTGATCTTTCCTTTAGCAAACGGCCGCTGAATGCTTTGTTGTAAGTGTGTAGATTGCTGAAGCACTCGTCAGAAAAATGACAGGAACACAGCTGGGGGTATAATGCTGGGGTAGTTTTGCAAAAAATAAACCTCAACCATGGACTTTTCACAGTTTCATCCTTGGGTAGAGAAAAGAACAATAACTTTTCCCTCACACTTCCAATAATATCCAGCGGAGCATATCGTCTACACGACTTGACTCAACTGGGATTTGCAACAGTGTTTGTGCTCCTCTTTTTCTTTGCTACTGTTTGTGGGCGGGGCCAGGTGTTTAAATTTTTCCGGGTTTGCGTGCAACAGTTGGACAGGGCTTAAGTTTTGTATTGACATAACACCAAAACAACTAAAGACTCGTTACCAAGACGATTCATTTGAAGGCACTATGAGTCGACTCTTTTATAAATTAATCAATAGTTTTAAACACGGTGCACTTTTAGATTTAAGCCTTAGCTGGATATTTAACTTCACTTATGCCGAGTTCACATCAGACGCGGAAGGAGCGTCAAGCGCGAGTGATTTACATGTTAAGTCAATGCAAATGCGCGAATAGACATCCTGCGGCGCGATTTGCGCGGATAACGCAATATGCGCATCGCGAATTGAGCGTTTAGTGCATATGATGTGCTTAAAGCACGCTTCGCACAAATCGCTCAAGTTCAAAGAGCTGAACTTAAGCGGACATTCACGCAGCATTAACCAATCAGGAGCTTGCTCTTGTGGGGGCGTGATTGTAACGTACCGCCTGTTGTTGGTGTCCCAGGGGAAGCCAACACCGACAACAGTTCTTCAAACTGGGCTTGGCTCAGTCAGAAGCACTGCTGAAAGCCTCCATCATCCAGGTTCAGTTTCTGGAGCTGTTCATGAGCTCACAGAGCTGAATGCACCTCTGAAAGGATCTAGTGGACTCAGACACGGCCCTAAACACATCAACAGAGTCTCATAGAGCACATAAACACTGTTATTTTCTTAATAAAATCCATGTTAGCCATTTAGCAACAAAGCTAGAGTCACCGGGCAGACAGAAGCCCTGCCCATCACGCAAATCCGCGTCTGATCTGAAGTGAATTTGACGCGCGAATGAAGGGAGTAAACTCAAAGTTTCACATGGCTATTTACGCGCGAATAGTGCAATGTATCCACGTGTTTCGCGTCTCTTGTGAACGCAGCATTAGAGTTGTGTTACACACTACATGGAGGGTCATTTTCAAATACCATGATAGGGGCTCTTTAAAACACAAATTGCCTAAAACCAAAAGTCACTTTTTTCCTATAAAAAAGGTGAATAACTTGTACTTTTGGAAACAAAATAAAATAAAACTCTTGTATATCCTGTAAATAATATTTTATTTTATAAAGTTATAATACAACAGTGCATTTCTTGCATCTTCTGTAAACAAATATTTTAATGTAAATAAGAATTTCAATGGAATGGAAAATATGCCATCTCAAAGCATCTCAGGGCAGTTTCCAATCATCGTCAGTATAGTGCAAAGTAGGGCTTGACAAGAGATCAAATGTGGCTTCAAAGTGGATGCAGAAGTATAAATCAGCCTTAACTACATGGCTTTTTTCTGAGGTTTTGTAAGTGTCGTGTCAGCCACAGTGAAGGCTGCGCTAGATCATACACTTGCACTTGACGCAGAAGTATAAACAGAGCGGGGTCGCGTGACTCCACATGCGGTAGGGAAACTAATTGAAATAATTGACCTGGAAAATTTTCAATCGACCATAGGCTCTCAATGTCGATTTTGATTATTTTTCGATGAATTGCCCAACCCTAAGACTGATAATAGTAATAGCCCAGGATTTATATTTCATCAATAAATGTGTTGTCCTGAACCAATATGTATTTTGTTTATCATACAACAGTAACTGACAGTATTATAATATTACTAGGAACTGTGTATAAACCTAACTACACACAAAATCACATTGGAAAACAGCGATTCAATAGTGAAGATGAAGTGCAATATGCAGCCAGAGAATCAAATCAAAATAAAGCCGATAACAGGCTTTTAATACATAAAAGCTGAAAAAAAAATTCTGCTTTGTAGATATTAAATAATAAAAGAGACAACATTTGTATTTAAGTGATTTTAAGGTTGCAAAATGCTTACTCTTTTTATAACATCATGTCTACGTGACAATATTGCATTTACTCACAGTATATAACCACTATGGCATATAGTGCATTATTTTACAGTTTTTCTCAGTCGCTTTGGTCCATTTTCTCAGATCACAATTAAAATTCCCAAAAATACTTGTTCAATCTTCACATCATTGTGTCACTTGTGCACATCAAAAAAGCCGTTTCTTATTTCTCAGAACAAGTTGCAAATGCGTTTGTACATCCATGCAAATGATTATGTGCAATTCTCTGATGCTTCCTAGATTAATTTTGGTCTCTGTTGAATAGCCTCACCCCGCATAACATTTAATCGTTTGTTCAAGGTTTAAGTCATCATAAAATGGCTGAACAAGTTGTCATAATATTTTGTCATAATGCATTTTTCTAGACATTTCCATTAGACTTTTTTTTTTCTAAATCTGTCTACAATTAGTACATTTCTCCCAGGTGAACCTTGACTTTTTCTAATGAAGGTGCATCTCAAAGGAGATTCCTATTTTCACATTACTACTTTATTTGTACTATGCAATGCTGTCTTTTCCTTTCTGCATCACAATGATAGGATCTAGCAACAAATTACAGTACAAACAGCAAAAAAAAGCCATAGTTTACATCAGAACTGCCATCCAGAGTACAGTGTTAAATTAACAACATGACTAAGTTTTATCTGTACACGATGACACAAGGACTTTTACTTCAGATGGCACTGACACATTAATTGACACAGAAATTTAGTTTTGAGAGATGAACTAAGGATTTTGAGCAAGAAACTGGCTTTTGCAAGTAATCCATGGTGTTTTGCTATTTGTCCACGTTGTTTTGAGAAATGCACTTCAATTCTGATCAGAAAAATGTAGCAAAGTGACTGAGAAAATCTGTAAAAAGGCTCAACTAGTTTAGCATTTTATACATTTAACATTGAGGTATGCACTTGTATGTACATGGGCTGCATACATTAAATAATGAATGAAATATCCATCGGTTAACACAATGTCGTTTTTGTATGTTACAGTTTTGCAGCTGATGTTTTTCAGTTACCTCCCTGGTTTTTCTGAACTGCCATTAAACAGCCTATAATGCTATTTAATGGCGAGTTCCCATAGTGATAACATGCCTTGCTATTGAGTGATCGTGTCTCAAAAGGTCACTGTGTGTTCAATGAAGTGTATCGCTTCTCCCAGGCAATTACAGAGAGAAAATTCAGTCTTTGTGTTGCATAATGTCACATAATGTGTATGTTTATAGAGAATATAGACTTTGAAAAGCAAAACCTACCTTTAGAACTAAACAGAATTTACTGATGTAAAAGATAGATAGATAGATAGATAGATAGATAGATAGATAGATAGATAGATAGATAGATAGATAGATAGATAGATAGATAGATAGATAGATAGATAGATACTCTATGTATGTTGGTAGCATACAGTGTAGTCTAGCCTACAGTATATGTTTCATGAAAATAACCTCACAGAAAGTGGACTTTTATTAAGAAAAACATGATAACATGACAATGAAACTTATTTTAATGGTGATAAATGCTCTTCACAAATCATAAAGTAAAATGAAATAACACATTTAGCTTAACACATCCACCGTCAATTAAAAAGATAAGCAGCTACAGTAATGAAACTGCTCTGAGCGAAGATCCACAGCAACACACTGCAGCACCAAAAAAAGAAATCAATATGCCGAAAACCATTGTGGCTATTATATAATCAATCTCTGTCGCAAAAGCATCTGTTCTTACAGCACCTTTAACCCTCGTCTGGACGCGGTAAAGCGGGAGCCCTTACCTCACTCATGGTTCAGCGTTCTCACGGGTTTTCCTCAGCGTCACTTCAGCTGTAAAGAGTTCACAGTGGTTTCCTCACTCCGAGGGAGCTTTATAAAGTATGAAGCCGTCTCCTCTGTGCCATCACGGCGGCACTAAACCAATAGGAGAGCCGTCGGCAAATCTCCTCCCTTCTTTCTGAAATATTACTGTCCTCTTTTATTCCTGCAGTAATGACGAGAGCTGCTGTTCTCTGATCTCTGTTCCCTCATCATCAGCGCAGCTTCAGCAGCCTTTAGGAGAAACCATCACCAGGATTATATTCGCGCCACACTCGATTAAATAAATTAATATTCAGACGTGGATATTTATAAAACAAATGCATGAGTGGATGCATGAGTTTCTAAGGCTTATAAATTAGTACATTTAAGACCACACATTAGTTTATATTTACGTGCCAATGTAAGTAACACAACACACGCGCCATGTTTAATCTGGATTTACTCTGGGTTATTAGGCAACGTGATCGCTTTTTATATTATGTCATAAATTACATACATATATGAGTACATCCCTCACAAATATCTCATTTAAATAATTTTTTTTCTATAGGAAGCGTTACAATGTTATATTTCTGCATATACATTAGATTAGAAAGTACTGAAGCTCAAACTTTAACTTATCTAACAAAAACAACTTATGATAATGGTACAAAATTAGTGCACACAAATTTATAAGTTAGAGAAAATATAAGAATTGAAAAGAGAAATATAAAAATTCATGAAAATTTTTGTTGAAATTTTGTAGTTTGTTATGTTTTGTAATCTATTTCTAAAGATGTTCGGTGACTAATATATTCATTCATTCATTTATTTTCTTGGCGGCTTTGTCCCTTTATTAATCTGGGGTCGCCACAGCGGAATGAACCGCCAACTCATCCAGCAAGTTTTTCTGCAGCGGATCCCCTTCCAGCCACAACCCATCTCTGGGAAACATCCACACATAAACTACGGACAATTTAGCCTACCCAATTCACCTGTACCGCATGTCTTTGGACTGTGGGGGAAACCGGAGTACCCGGAGGAAACCCACGCGAACGCAGGGAGAACAAGCAAACTCCACACAGAAACGCCAACTGAGCCGAGGATCGAACCAGTGACCCAGCGACCTTCTTGCTGTGAGGCGAACGTGCTACCCACTGCGCCGCGACTTTTATTTTAATAAATATGTGCATTTAATAAATGTTTTTTATGGACCTAAATATTTGACCTTTGATTCACTGAGAAATTTATAAAAATCTTTATTTTTAAAGTAGGTTGTACTCCTTTGTTGTGCACTGTATTCACCTAATTCTCCGCGGACGAGCGGGCACAGCCATTTGAATCTTTTTGGCATGAGATTTCCGGTCTCATTTACTTTCATTCATTTTTAGACATTAAAAACTGCTCGTTTCACTGTTTGATGTTGCAAACTGACATTTCCTTGTTATATTATTCTACTTGGTCTGTATAGTCATGCAAACATTTGTTTGTAGAGCAAGTAGTTTGACCGTTTTTCGCCGTTTATTATTCCTAGTCATTTCTCCCATAGGCGACTGAAACTGAAGTTCTAAGACAATCGCGAAAACAGGCGCACTTTTTATATTAATAAGGTCAATTAATTTTTATAATAAGGTCAATACAGTGGTGTAAAAAATTTTTTTGCCTGTTTACTGATTTCTTAAAATATTAGTCAAAGATAATACAAGTAAAAATATCATGCAGTTTTGAAATGAAGGTTTTTATTATTAAGGAAAACAATTTTTAAAACTACATAGCCCTGTGTGAAAAAGTGTTTGCCTCTGATTTATACTTCTGCATCAAGCGCACGTTTATGCTCTGGCGTAGCTTGCGCATAGTCGCATAGCCCTCGCCATGACTGTCACCGACATGACGATGCATAGCGCAAGTTCTGAGATTGGTCGGCCTGGCATCGCTGTACGAATGTGGGCAGGACCGAGAGCCGCTCGAACCCGTTGGAGCGAGTGTTTACAAGTTTAGAGTCACGTAGAGGAAGAAACTCAACACAGAGGAACATAAACGCCTACTGCCAGCTAGTGTTTTGGAAGTGTTATTGCAGACCTACACAAACAGTGCGCAGAAGTATAAATGCACAGCAATGCACAAGGCATGAGCCGTAGGTCATGCCAATCGCTCAACACAGAAGTATAAACCAGGCTTTAAAAGCAAAAATTGCACCCTTGAAAAATTGTCTGTTACACCCTTGAGAAAAAATGTTGGCCCACTCATTTTGCAGAATTGTTGTAATTCAGCCATATTGGAGGGGTTTTGGGTCTTCACGCCACAGCATCTTAATTATATTCAGGTCAGGACTTTTACTAGGCCATTTTTCTTCAGCCATTGAGAAATTGACTTGCTGATGTGCTTTGGATTATTGTACGGCTGCAGAACCCAAGTTCGCTTCAGCTTGAGGTCACTAACAGATGGCTGGACATTCAGGTCCAGAAGCAGCAAAACAGCCCCAGACCATCACACTACCACCACGTTTTACTGTTGGCATGATGTTCTTTTTCTGTAATCTGGTGTTACTTTTAAGCCATACATAATGGGATGCACACCTTCCAAAAAGTTAAACTTATCAGTTCAAAGAGTATTTTCCCAAAAGCTTTGGGGACCATCAAGATGTTTTCCGACAAAACTGAGACGAGCCTTCATGTTCATTTTGCTCAGCAGTGGTTTTCGTCTTGAAACTCTGCCATGCAAGCAATTGTTAAACAGTCTTTTCTTGATGTTGCGTTCACCACAAACGAGGATGAAGCATGAAGCGTGAGTGATTTACATGTTGAGTCAATGCAAAGATGTGAATAGGCATCCTGCAGCGTGATTCGCACGAATGAGGCAGCGCGAATGATGCAATTTGTGCGAATGAAGCAGCACGAGTTGAGTGTTTTGCATGTTTGACGCACGTGTCGCATATTTTGGCGAATTGCTTAAGTTGAAAAAATGTGAAACTCAGCAGACGTTAGTGCCATGTTAACCAAGCTTGCTCTTGTAGGGGAGTGATTATGAAGTAGTGCCTGTTGTTGGTGTCCTAAGGGAAATCCTCTTGCCGACATTGGCCAACAGTTAATCAAACTGGGCTCGGCTCAGTCTGAAGCACTGCTGAAAGCCTTCATCATCTAGGTATAGTGACTGGAGAAGTTGATGAACTCACATAATGCACCTCTGAAAGGATGTAGTGCACACAGACACGGAACCGAATGAAATTACGCTGTTTTTCAGCCTTCCTAAAGCACATAAACACAGCTGTGCTCTCAATAAAGTCCATGTTAGCTATTTCACAACAACGCTAGAGTCACCTGGCAGACAGAAGCCCTGCCCGTGATGAGAATCTGTGTTTGTTGTGAATGTGAGGTGCAAATGAAGTGAGTAAACTCAAAACCTTCACGCGTCTATTTTCAAGCTAATAGCGTGATTTATTCGTGTGCTCCATGTGTGGTGTGAAAACAGCATTATGGTGGAGTCATGAACACACCTTGACCGAGGCAAGTGCAGTTCTTTGGATGTTGTTATGTGGGCTTTTGTGACCTCTTGGATTAGTTGTCACTGCACACTTGGGGTCACTGCAGTTCCTTATATAGTCATAAAATTTAACCTATCAATTCTTGTTTGGTCACAAGACACACAGGGTACCAATAGCATTTGACGTAATCGACCATAAAACACACAGGGTGCCAGTAGAAATTGACTAGTGAGTAGTGAGTGAGTAAATTATGACATCATTTAAATCTTTGAGCAAACTATCCCATTAAAATACAATTTCTTGCAATCCAGAGGTATAATTCTATACTGCTTGCACATGATTTATATTATATAACCACTACACTCATCTGTACGATTAGATTTCATTTTAGTGTGCATATTCCTGTTTAGTCTGTTCAAAGGCTTCAGACTTCTCCAGAATGTAATGCCATGGGTATTTCTGCAGCTGTTTCCTCTGAGAATAAAGTTGCATCAGAAGAAATATAGCCGTTCTCTTTACATTGGTCTCTGCAACACATTCCAATCACATGAGCATCTGTGCTGCAGAAGATCCAGCCAGAGGTTTACGCAGAGGTAATGCTGCAGAGAAACACCCACTCAAGGAGAAATCCCTCCTCAACAACACCAGCAGCCTTACAAACACCAGCTATTTTAAGATTCTGCCAGACATTACTTTAGGTTTGACAGCACCTACTCATGTTTTCATTCCTAATAGTGAAAAGGAAGCCATCTCAGGTTGAGCGTATCTTACAGCACCAGTGATTCTTAGAGAAGCCGTTAACTGATTTGTGTTCCAGACTGAGGGAAGGATTTTTTTTTACTGTGAGTGTGCCATAGGGAGACCTTTTCTGATGCAATATTTATGGGTGAAAATTGTAAGCACTACAATGAACTAAAGAAAAAATTTCATTCATGCAAAAATTGTCACGTTTGGTGGATTGAAACAGGAACAAAAAGGGTGTAGGATCCAAGTGCAGTTGAATGATGTACTTTATTGTGCAGTGACGAAGAACCAAAAAATCCAAAAATCAAAGTATCAAACAAACAAACAAGGAACTAAAACAGATTAAACTTAAACTCGGCAACTACGACAGGATACAAGACTGGAATCAAGGTTCAACATACCAACAAGGACGAACGACGAACTGACAAACAGTGGTAGAATGGTTGCATAAATAGTCCAGGAAATCAATGGGGAAACAGAGACAGCTGTGTATACAAATCAGTGTAAGTGAGTTCCAGTGTGTGCGCGTGGTATGTATGGATTTGTAGTTCTTGGGCGCTGTAGTTCACTCTCAGAGTTCGTCGAACTACAGCGCCCTCAGGTGGTTACTAACAGTCATGATAACTGACAGTCATGACAAAAATGTGTTTCTTATTGTACACCCTATGTACACCCTTGAAATAAAAACAATATCGTTTCTAATCAGAGGTCATGACCAATAATATAATTACTGTCGAATATTTTTTCTCTATATTAATTTTGGTTTGGTCATAATTGATAGTTTGCCATGTACAACTAATTAGAATGCCAATTACAGTTAATCAAGGGTCAGGTATCCTATCTGGAATAGTCGTACAACACCTGCCCACGTACCTCCCCTTTCACCCTTCATCTTGGTGCCCTACACTGGTAGGAAAATGGTGAAAGATAATTCATTTTTCTGTCTCCTCCTCCCACCCCTGTGCTGCTGCCC